CATGGCGATCTGGGGAAGTCCCAGAAGACTGGAAAAAGGCTAATGTAGTGCTCATCTTTAAAAAAGGGAAGGAGGAGGATCCTGGGAACTACAGGACAGTCAGCCTCAGCTCAGTCCCTGGAAAAATCATGGAGCAGGTCCTCAAGGAATCAATTCTGAAGCACTTAGAGGAGAGGAAAGTGATCAGGAACAGTCAGCATGGATTCACCAAGGGCAAATCATGCCTGACTAATCTAATTGCCTTCTATGACGAGATAACAGGTTCTATGGATGAGGGGAAAGCGGTGGATGTGTTGTTCCTTGACTTTAGCAAAGCTTTTGATATGGTCTCCCACAGTATTCTTGCCAGCAAGTTAAAGAAGTATGGGCTGGATGAATGGACTATAAGGTGGATAGAAAGCTGGCTAGATTGTCGGGCTCAACGGGTAGTGATCAATGGCTCCATGTCTAGTTGGCAGCCGGTATCAACTGGAGTGCCCAAAGAGTAGGTCCTCAGGCCGGTTTTGTTCAATATCTTCATAAATGATCTGGAGGATGGTGTGGATTGCACCCTCAGAAAGTTTGCAGATGATACTAAACTGGGAGGAGAGGTAGATATGCTGGGTAGGGATAGGATACAGAGGGACATAGACAAATTAGAGGATTGGGCCAAAAGAAATCTGATGAGGTTCAACAAGGACAAGTGCACAGTCCTGCATTTAGGACGGAAGAATCCCATGCACCGCTACAGGCTAGGGACCGAATGGCTCGGCAGTAGTTCTGCAGAAAAGGACCTAGGGGTTACAGTGGACGAGAAGCTGGATATGAGTCAACAGTGTGCTGTTGTTGCCAAGAAGGCCAATTGCATTTTGGGCTGTATAAGTAGGGACATTGCCAGCAGATCGAGGGATGTGATCATTCCCCTCTATTCAACATTGGTGAGGCCTCATCTGGAGTACTGCGTCTAGTTTTGGGCCCCACACTACAAGAAGGATGTGGAAAAATTGGAAAACGTCCAGCGGAGGGCAACAAAAATGATTAGGGGCCTGAAACACATGACTTATGAGGAGAGACTGAGGGAACTGGGATTGTTTAGTCTGCGGAAGAGAAGAATGAGGGGGGATTTGATAGCTGCTTTCAACTACCTGAAAGGGGGTTCCAAAGAGGATGGATCTAGACTGTTCTCAGTGGTAGCTGATGACAGAACAAGGAGTAATGGTCTCAAGTTGTAGTCGGGGAGGTTTAGGTTGGATATTAGGAAAAACTTTTCTACTAGGAGGGTGGTGAAACACTGGAATGCGTTACCTAGGGAGGTGGTGGAATCTCCTTCCTTAGATATTTTTAAGGTCAGGCTTGACAAAGCCCTGGCTGGGATGATTTAGTTGGATATTGGTCCTGCTCTGAGCAGAGGTTGGACTAGATGACCTCCTGAGGTCCCTTCCAACCCTGATATTCTATGATTCTATGATTGATTCTATAGCCTAGTGGTTAGGGCACTCAGTTCAATCCCTGCTCCTAATCAGGGATTAAACCTGGGTCTCCCACATCCCAGGTGAGTGCCCTAACACCGGGTAGACTGGGACACACACATGTACAGTTAGCAGCCCAAAATCCTGACCTGCTTCTCCTGGCTGTCTTCTGTGCAGTTTAGGCCTGACAGCATGCATACTGGATTGAGCCAGGCAGCTGAAATAGGCTGGGGATTGCCTAGTTTGAGAATCCTGCTGGGTTTTAGGTGTGAGCTAGGGTGCCAAGCAACTTGGTGCCCTCAGGACTTAGGCAACTTTGCACATGCCCACCACTTATAGGGTGATGTGGCAGCCGAGTGATGGTTTTGTGAAGGTCAGTGGTGCCTAAATGTTGATACCTTTGTGCTTTTAGCCCTTTGTTACTAAATGTTGCATCTGACAGTATTAGAATGAATGTGGCTAAAATAAATCTGCCTTATCAAGCAATCCATATTGCTCTGTATAACTGACCTGCCTCCACCGTTAGTTACCACTCTACGAAATTTTTTTGTCATCTGCAAATCTTACTCACAATGATCTAATATTTTTTCCAGATCATTGATAAGATATTGAATAGCATTGGGCCAAGAATACATTGTTGTGCGACTGTGATGCTCTGTACCTCGGGGGAACACCCAGTACCCCCATGTTCATTCTTGTAAAATGATTGTGTGGTATCCAATGCAAAGTTTGTCATGTCGGGTGTCTTCAGAAGGCTCATGATGCACTGAGCATTGTTGTTATAGTTATGTTATGAGTTATAATTTCATGTATATAGTTATGAGGCTGAAAATGTAGCCTCATGGCTTAAAGCAAGCCCAGACAAAAACTCTCCAAGAGCAGAGAGGCAGTTCACACCTCATCAGGGCAGGTATGGGACAAGCCAAGCTCAGCTTCACAGGAACAAAAGACACTGGCTTAGGCAGCAACAAAAGAATCTGTTAGACTCTCCAGGGAGTCACCCCCTTCCTTTGGTCAGTTTGGAATTGTGATGAGGTAATGCTCACCTGACTCTGAAGGGGGGAGGGCAAACCCAAGAGGGAAGAAAGGACACTATAAAAGGGAGAGAAATATGCCATGCTCTGTCTCTCTCTCTCTTCCACTAACATCTACAGACATCACCACCAAGCGACTGAAGCACTGATCAAAGGGGAGACCCTGGCTGAAGAGCAACCAGCCAGCCTGTGGTGAGAAGCATCTAAGGGCTTGTCTACACTGGCAATTTACAGCGCTGCAACTTGCTTGCTCAGGGGGTGAGAAAACACCCCCGAGCGCAGCAAGTTTCAGCGCTGTAAAGCTCCAGTGTAGATAGTGCACCAGCGCTGGGATGATACTGGACTAGAGAGATGATACTGGACTGGACACTGGACATGATACTGGACTAGATAGATCACTTGGTCTGACTCAGTATGGCAGTACCTATGACCCTGTGACTTTAACAAGATCACTCTTTAATAGCACAGGCTCTTTCATGGTGAAGTAAGGTTACAGCTGAATTGTGAGGCTCCCAAGCATGGGCAGCATGTGAACCGCTGGCTGGGGAGGCCAGCTCCAGCCCCGCCCCTTCCACCTGAGGTCTTGCCCCTTACCCCTTCCAGAATCCCCCCCACCCCAGGTTAGCCCATGCAGCCCCAGCCCTGGAACACCTGGCTGGGACCGCCGCACTGGGGGAGCCGCAGAGGCAGGCCTGGGGTCAGAACTTTGGCAGGGCCATGCCTAGCTGTTTGGGGAGGCACAGCCTCCCCCAACCTATGATACCCGCCACCCATGCTCCCAAGTTATAGCCTAATTAAGAAAGAGTTCATATTGTATTATAAAATGCTAAAACTCTATTATAATTTATCATAATTTCAATAAATATAACAAATAAACATGTTACATAGGGGAAGGTGCACCATAGTGCAGATTAGTTCTCTACACAGTCCTGTACCCTTCCTCCACCAATGACTAATGCCAGAGGGTCAGAGAGAGAGAGAGAGAGAGACATAAACTTTCTATAATGCACCTAGTTGTGCAAGACTGCATGTTTTACTTTGACAGTATATTGTAAGATGTCCTAACTGGTCAGAAAGGAGATGGATATTATTGACGTTCATGCTCAGTACATGAACGTGGATGAAGGGAAAACAGTGGATGTATTGTTTCTTGACTTTAGCAAAGCTTTTGACACGGTCTCCCACAGTATTCTTGTCAGCAAGTTAAGGAAGTATGGGCTGGAAGAATGCACTATAAGGTGGGTAGAAAGCTGGCTAGATTGTCGGGCTCAACGGGTAGTTATCAATGGCTCCATGTCTAGTTGGCAGCCGGTATCAAGTGGAGTGCCCCAAGGGTTGGTCCTGGGGCCGGTTTTGTTCAATATCTTCATAAATGATCTGGAGGATGGTGTGGATTGCACTCTCAGCAAATTTGCGGATGATACTAAACTGGGAGGAGTGGTAGATACGCTGGAGGGGAGGGATAGGATACAGAAGGACCTAGACAAATTGGAGGATTGGGCCAAAAGAAATCTGATGAGGTTCAATAAGGATAAGTGCAGGGTCCTGCACTTAGGACGGAAGAACCCAATGCACAGCTACAGACTAGGGACCGAATGGCTAGGCAGCAGTTCTGCGGAAAAGGACCTAGGGGTGACAGTGGATGAGAAGCTGGATATGAGTCAGCAGTGTGCCCTTGTTGCCAAGAAGGCCAATGGCATTTTGGGATGTATAAGTAGGGGCATAGCGAGCAGATCGAGGGACGTGATCGTTCCCCTCTATTCAACATTGGTGAGGCCTCATCTGGAGTACTGTGTCCAGTTTTGGGCCCCACACTACAAGAAGGATGTGGATAAATTGGAGAGAGTCCAGCGAAGGGCAACAAAAATGATTAGGGGTCTGGAACACATGAGTTATGAGGAGAGGCTGAGGGAGCTGGGATTGTTTAGCCTCCAGAAGAGAAGAATGAGGGGGGATTTGATAGCTGCTTTCAACTACCTGAAAGGGGGTTCCAAAGAGGATGGCTCTAGACTGTTCTCAATGGTATCAGATGACAGAACGAGGAGTAATGGTCTCAAGCTGCAGTGGGGGAGGTTTAGATTGGATATTAGGAAAAACTTTTTCACTAAGAGGGTGGTGAAACACTGGAATGCGTTACCTAGGGAGGTGGTAGAATCTCCTTCCTTAGAGGTTTTTAAGGTCAGGCTTGACAAAGCCCTGGCTGGGATGATTTAACTGGGAATTGGTCCTGCTTCGAGCAGGGGGTTGGACTAGATGACCTTCTGGGGTCCCTTCCAACCCTTATATTCTATGATTCTATGATTCTATGATGTAAACCTCATTCCCACCTGATTATCTCAGTTAACAGACTACCAGGGCAACCCAGTTCTATCAACACAGAGTCATGTAAGTTCAAGGTGTGGTTTAGCTTCTGTCTGAAAAATGATTTTCCAGACAGGTCCACTGACCTCAAACTATGTTTCTAGAGTGTTTTCAAACAGCCTGGAAATAGAAACCCTATGTTCTCTGCTCTTCTTACCAGAGTAACTTTCCCCAGCAGCTGGCACTAGGCCATACATCTTTCCAGCTATGTAAATATCAACTCCATCCACACTTACAGCATCACTTTCTTTTTTCTGAAAGGCAATGAAATTAATGAGTTGTGTGAAAAGAAATCTTTCCTAGACACAGTGATGACACACATCTAGTTGAAGCATCTCTCAGAGCAAGGATCCAGGAGGCACAATATCAGCTGCCTCATCCTCTATCACCCTAAAAATGAGTCCTGGCCCAGTAAAAATAATACTCCCAGGTTTTACTCCACAGTCCAAACAACTTTAATCAGATTCTTCAGCTGGTTGTGGATAAGCTGAAGTGATTTTTCTGTCAAATCATACCCATAAATTTCAGAATAAAACCTAATAACCAAACAGATGCAAAAATGCAGACATGCAATCTCAGCAGCAACAGATTTAACCCTTAGGACACACTGGCCAGTGTTAAGGAGTTAAGAAGGTTAGATAACTAGAGTCATTGGTGATGCTGTGGTGGGAAGGCTTTTGGCCACTGAAGGTATGTTTACACGGCAAAAATCCCCTGTGGTAGTCAGGCCTCAGAGCCCAGGTCTATAGATTTAGGCTTGTGGGACTCACACCATGGCACGAAAAATAGCTGTGTAGATGTTTGGGCTGGACCTGAAGCTTGGGTTCTGAATCTCATGCCCCTATCCGTACTTCAGTGCTCAAGCTTGAACATCTACAAGACTGTTTAGTTGATTTAGTTGGGGATTGGTCCTGCTCTGAGCAGGGGGTTGGACTAGACCTCCTGAAGTCCCTTCCAACCCTGACATTCTATGATTTTTAGCACTGTAGTGCTATCCTGTAGACCTGGGTTCTGAGACTCACTGCCGCAGAGTTTTTTGGTCACGTAGACATACCTTGGAAGGCCCAGTCAGATTATGATTTTTGCTAAAGTGAGTTTCAACAAGTCCCATATCCTTTTGACAGAAACTCCTCTCCTCCATGGCATTCCTCTTCCATTTTCCCACCACTAGTCCTGGCCACATTCTCATGCTAGGATCCAGCCCTTGGATGGTGGATCACAGGGAGCCCAAAGCAGCCCTGTGTTCTGACATGGAGGTGAGAATTAACTGGGAAGACATAGAGCTTGTTTTCACTGCAACAGTTAGCTTCAGTTAGCACACTCGAGTCACTGTACTTGAGCTAGCCTCGCTCAAGTGAGAATGACCACACTTCAAAACAGCACTGGAGTTACACATAGTGATTGGATTAGCTGCTTCTGAGTTGTTGTAACTCAAGCTGTTGCATCCTTTCTGCATTACTAGCTCCAGCATCAGCACTGCCTGAGAGCTTCAACCCCTCCACCCTTGCCACATGGGCCAACTAGTTCACGTTTAGAGCACCATTTAACTTGAGCTCGGGATTTTTGCATGTGGATAGGAGTCGAGTTAGGGGTAACACTTGAGTTACAACTAAACATCTGATGAAGTGAGCTGTAGCTCACGAAAGCTCATGCTCAAATAAATTGGTTAGTCTCTAAGGTGCCACAAGTACTCCTTTTCTTTGTGCTATAAAGATACATCCTTAGATGTCTTATTGGGTCATGGGACATGTCTCAGCCTCAACAGGAACAGGACACGGTGGACCTCAGTTTTATTATTGATGTTTTAGCAAGTTTCCTCTAAAATGGACAAATACAATAAGACTGAACTCAAATTCAACTTCAGATTGCTGAAGAATTTATACAGAGGCCATTATTACTTATTTAACTGTAAAATAAATTCTGCCCCATGGATAGTTTCATTGAATTTCTGTGTGTAATCTAGTGGCATTCTTCTCCCTTCAAAGCAGCACAGTGGCCATAGTCATGGTAGCTGCAATTTAATATTGGATGATAGAGGGAGATGCATCTTTTTAAATAAAGTGAGTACATAACTAATCTTGTTTGTAAGTGGCACCGATGGATTTCAGCTGATAAAGGATCTGTGGATACATAATATTGTAATGACAGGTTTCAGAGGAACAGCCGTGTTAGTCTGTATTCGCAAAAAGAAAAGGAGAACTTGTGGCACCTTAGAGACTAACCAATTTATTTGAGCATGAGCTCACGAAAGCTCATGCTCAAATAAATTGGTTAGTCTCTAAGGTGCCACAAGTTCTCCTTTTCTTTTTTCATAATATTGTAACAAATCTATAGCCACCTAGGGCTTCACAGCTATCACAATTCTGCACCTCAGAATTATTCAGAACTTTACAGTGGTAATAGGGATAAAACTCAGATATTCAAGTCTTTCCCATAGCTCTTAAGCTAAATAAATTTCTAAATTTTTTCTTGTAAAACAATTTGTGTAATCCTCATGTAAGATTGCATGATCTTAGACTAATAGCATATATTATACAAGTCACAACTGCATTTGATGCTTACCAGCATGATAGACTGGGATATGACTATCAAATTGTGAAGACTATTTTGTACCTGTATTTAAAATACTGGCATTGTGGCTATGTTAGTTTGGATCTACCATGGAGCAGCCTGTTATGTAATATTCCAGACAGCCACCTTGCCCACAAAAGGCATTTGACACCTTGCTGAAGGACCACCACTGAGCCATCAAGGTTAAAAATCTATTGACTTTGACTCTCAGCTACTCGCATGGAGCAACGGAATTTCTACACAGAGGCCTACAGAGTGAAAGCGGGACAGGCAAGCACACTGGTGTATTTGGAACTTCAGCTGGCACAAAAACAGAGGATCTACTTAAGAGCAGGGTTCTGCTCTGTATAGGGGGGCCAAACATTGCCACATGTAAGCAGGACTGCAGGAGAGGAGCGCAGGAGGGCTCTGCACAGCCTGAAATACTGACAAACCATGGACTGTACAGACAAGGTAAGCCCAGACTAGAGAGGGTGTGCCTTGGGACTTTTGTTATTTAAAAAAAACCTGTAACTTTCAAGTGCTTTAAGAGTAAAGTCACTGTGGCATAGGTATTGGAACCAGGGGTGCAGCCACGCCCTGGCTGGAAATGGTTTCCATTATAGACAGGGTTTACAGTTTAGTTCAATGGCTCTCAGCACCCGCACTATAAAAATTGTTCCAGCACTCCTGCACAGTTGTTAGGAAATTCTTTTTCTAAGCCTCTGTTCTTTGCTGTCCTGCCATGTTGATCCCAAAAGGGTTAAACAAGTATGCCCATAGCCTAAGTAGAACTGGGGGGTGAGGAGGCACATATAAGCAACTGGCGCACTCAGGAGGTCTCAGAATCTGATTCTGGATTATAGGGCAGCTGGGCAGCAGTACCCATGTTAAAAGAAAGGCATCAGACAAGAGGTCTGAGCCCAGGAGTATGCGCTAGACTGCCAGAGCTAGAAATAGTTACTTGACTCTCCCCAGATCCACTTGGTTTGAAGCACATGGGATCATGCCATTGGGGCCACTTACAACAGACTGGGGATTTTACAGTGTGTTACTGGGCCATTTTTTAACAAGAAATGTATTGACTGGTAAATGATAACATTAATCTATGTAGTGTGACAGAAGGTCTGAAGTCTGCCAGTAATCTACATCCCCTGGCAAAGAAAAATTGTGAACAAATTAAAAAAAAAAAAAAAAAAGGAGTCTGGATGAGTTGGATAAAGCCAGACAAAATTATCCATGAACTGCTGTACCTGTTGTCAGCAGGTAAGCATTTGAAAGGCAGCTATTAATCACTGTTAAAGGACTTTCTTTCTCTCAGTGTCAGACCACCTGTTGGAGGGTGGAAAGGCAATTGTTTGCCAGCCTCAGTGTTTGTGTATTTATCTTTAAAATATTTTGAGAAAATAGAAGTGCAACAGATATCAGAGGTTAAGAAATAGGAAACAGATATCTCTCTGGACACAGTAGCATGAGATACTCACCCAAAATCTCAGGCCTCTACCACAAGACCTCCAGAGAATCCTGTATAATCTCCTGGATTTACCAGCCAGTGCCTGCTGCTTACATACAGAACCAATGTCACACAATTGAGTAGTTCTGATTCTATCCAGCAGAGGACAGTTGTCAATGTACTCATTAACTAATGCATTACAATATATTTCATAGTCAAGAATCAGTATGGTTCATACAAATCATGGTAATAAACTCACCTGGATCATTTCCATACACTGTTCTGTTGTCTTGGCTGAAACACACTGGATCTCTGGTTTCAAGTTCTTTTCTTTAAAGGCAACAGCCATTTCACTACATTTCCAGATCTCCTCAGTGAGCACAACGCACCATCGCAGGCTTTCTGGTAACCCTGCATTAAATTTGAAAGAAAATAATAGGGATTAAATGTAATAGATGTAAACATGTATATATTCTGCTCATTACCATACACCTGGGCCCCTCACCTTGTTAAAAATGCACACTTAGAAATGAACACAACGGTAGTAAACCTCACAGTACACAATAAAGAGGCCTGGGGTGTAATGAACATGAAGACGATTCTTTACTGATACTTATGGCACAGACAGACTGTATGGTTCTCTCTAGCTCCTACACTGAGAAAGCCCTGCCCGTGCTGCTTAATGGTTCCACACAGGGTCTCCCTAACCACTGGGCTAGACTTAGCAGCCACGGAAGGAACTGCTGACTACACTACAAGTCCACTCGCAGAGGGTGGATAAATGACTCCTGCTACTGTCGCCCTATCCAGTGTGCTACTGTGATGCCGACAGACCCCGGTCGTCAGTGGGTGGGATCGAACTGGGACCTCTGAAGCTTAGTGCATGGGCCTCTACTGCATGAGCTAAAAGCCAGCTGACTGGTAGCTAAGGCTGTAGAGCAGACTTATTTTATCTCTCTCTTTAAGTGGTCTTGGTACCACTAGATGGGACAGAACACTGCACCCAGGAGGTGTATGGATTACACTATCTCAAAAGGTAAACCATAGGCCAGCCTGAACAGATGCATCTGGTGTGTTCCCTCCCTCCCAGTGCTTCCTGCCCACTGCAATCAGCTGTTTCGCAGTGTTCAGGAGGCTCTGCGGGGAGGAAGGAGGAGCGAGGATGTGGCGCGCTCGGGGGAGGAGGCGGACTGGGGCAGGAAGAGGTGGAGTGGGGGTGGGAAGAGGCGGGGTGGGGACAGGACAGGGACGCGGGGGGCAAGCCCTTGGGGGAAGGTGCGGCAGAGCCAGGGGCAGAGCTAGGGGTCAAGCAGCCACCAGCACATTGGAAAGTCAGTGCCTGTGTTCTGTATTATAATTAAGGCTGCGACTCTGTCATGAAGGTCATAGAATATCAGGGTTGGAAGGGACCTCAGGAGGTCATCTAGTCCAACCCCCTGCTCAAAGCAGGACCAGTCCCCAACTAAATCATCCCAGCCAGGGCTTTGTCAAGCCTGACCTTAAAAACCTCTAAGGAAGGAGATTCTACCACCTCCCTAGGTAACGCATTCCAGTGCTTCACCACCCTCCTAGTGAAAAAGTTTTTCCTAACATCCAAACTAAACCTCCCGCGCTGCAACTTGAGACCATTACTCCTTGTTCTGTGATCTGCTACCACTGAGAACAGTCTCGATCAATCCTCTTTGGAACCCCCTTTCAGGTAGTTGAAAACAGCTATCAAATCCCCCCTCATTCTTCTCTTCCACAGACTAAACAATCCCAGTTCCCTCAGCCTCTCCTTGTAAGTCATGTGTTCATAGAATCATAGAATCATAGAATATAAGGGTTGGAAGGGACCCCAGAAGGTCATCTAGTCCAACCCCCTGCTCAAAGCAGGACCAATTCCCAGTTAAATCATCCCAGCCAGGGCTTTGTCAAGCCTGACCTTAAAAACCTCTAAGGAAGGAGATTCTACCACCTCCCTAGGTAACGCATTCCAGTGTTTCACCACCCTCATAGTGAAAAAGTTTTTCCTAATATCCAATCTAAACCTCCCCCACTGTAACTTGAGACCATTACTCCTCGTTCTGTCATCTGATACCATTGAGAACAGTCTAGAGCCATCCTCTTTGGAACCCCCTTTCAGGTAGTTGAAAACAGCTATCAAATCCCCCCTCATTCTTCTCTTCTGCAGGCTAAACAATCCCAGCTCCCTCAGCCTCTCCTCATAACTCATATGTTCCAGACCCCTAATCATTTTTGTTGCCCTTCGCTGGACTCTCTCCAATTTATCCACATCCTTCTTGAAGTGTGGGGCCCAAAACTGGACACAGTACTCCAGATGAGGCCTCACCAATGTCGAATAGGGGGGAATGATCACGTCCCTCGATCTGCTGGCAATGCCCCTACTTATACATCCCAAAATGCCATTGGCCTTCTTGGCAACAAGGGCACACTGCTGACTCATATCCAGCTTCTCGTCCACTGTAACCCCAAGGTCCTTTTCTGCAGAACTGCTGCCTAGCCATTTGGTCCCTAGTCTGTAGCGGTGCATGGGATTCTTCCGTCCTAAGTGCAGGACTGTGCACTTGTCCTTGTTGAACCTCATCAGATTTCTTTTGGCCCAATCCTCTAATTTGTCTAGGACCCTCTGTATCCTATCCCTACCCAGCGTATCCACCTCTCCTCCCAGTTTAGTGTCATCTGCAAACGTGCTGAGGGTGCAATCCACACCATCCTCCAGATCATTAATGAAGATATTGAACAAAACCGGACACAGGCCCAACCCTTGGGGCACTCCAGTTGATACCGGCTGCCAACTAGACATGGAGCCATTGATCACTACCCGTTGAGCCTGACAATCTAGCTTTCTGTCCACTTTATAGTCCATTCATCCAGCCCATACTTCTTTAACTTGCTGGCTGGAATACAGTGGGAGACCATATCAAAAGCTTTGTTAAAGTCAAGGAATAACATATACACTGGTTTCCCCTAAGCCACAGAGCCAGTTATCTCCTCATGGAAGGCAATTAGGTTAGTCAGGCACGACTTGCCCTTGGTGAATCCATGCTGACTGTTACTGATCACTTTCCTTTCCTCTAAGTGCTTCAGAATTGATTCCTTGAGGACCTGCTCCATGATTTTTCCAAGGACTGGGTAGCCTCTGGGCCAGCAGCAGCAGTTTGGGTGCATGGGAGGGGGTAGAGGAAGGGGGGTGCAGGGAGTTCGGGGTGGGGGGCTCCCCAGCTCCCACTGGCATGGCTCTGCAGCTCCTAGGCGGAGGTGCCAGGGGGCTCCATGCGCCCTCACGCAGCTCCCATTGGCTGCGGTAACCAGCCAATGGGAGTTGCGCAGCTAGCGCTTGTGGCTGGAGTAGCCCCTTGGCTCCTCTGCCACCTTGGAGCTTCAGGGACATGTGGAGCCTGGTAGGCAGCCCCTGCCAGCCCCACCAACCGGCCCCCCACAGCACCAGCAGGGGTCCTGGGCCGCACACTGATGCCCACCCCCCCAGCACCAGCGGGGGTCCCGGGCCACCTCCCCCAGCACCTGCAGTGCCCCCAGACCACCCTCCCCCTCCCGCTACAGCACCTGCGGTCTCCCACCCAAGTTTTAGGTAGGAGTATGTAGTAAAGTCATGGACAGGTAACAGGCCGTGAATTTTTGTTTACTGGTCGTGACCTGTTTATGACTTTTACTAAAAATACCAGTGACTAAAATGTAGCCTTAATTATAATCTATAGTCTGAGACAGGAGTGGCAGAAGGCTCCTAAAAAGTGAGAGGACCACCAGCATCGGAAACATGGCCCCCACACCCACCCCTTCCCCTGAGGCCCTACTCTCGTGCTGTCCCTTTCCCCGAGGCCCCGTCCCCACCTTGCCCCTTCCCCCAAGACCCCACCCCCTGCTCACTTCTTTCCACCCCTCCTGCCCCCCCTCGCTCACCCTATGGCCGACAAAAAATGATGGGGCCATGGCCCGCTGGCCACCCCTATTCCAGAGCTCCTGGTCTGAGGCCCAGAGCCTTGGTCCCACTATTGTTAATGTATTTTCCTCACAACACTGGTAGGAAAGTGCTATGAAATACCCATTTAACAGATGGGGAACAGAAGCACAGAGTGGCTAAGTCTCTTGCTCAAGGTCACACAGGAGTTAAGTGGTGGACTTAGTGTAGGACATGAAGCCAAGCCCTACGCTGGTGTTGTAACCACCTCCATCCTCTCTTTATATATAAGCCAGCTCTATACCACCCATTCTCTGCCTCTTCGTTGTAGGCAATAAACTGTGGATGGGACAGCGCATGGTCAAAGTACACTTCAGTCTGGAGATCCCTGGTTGATTTAAGGGCTGTGTGTGGTTGTTACAAACCAGCACAATTTAGAACAGTCCTGAGGCTGCTCATTCAGTCTGGATTAAGGTTTCAGCATTCTAGGCCTATGCCTAGGGCCCTAGTTCATAAAGTCAGATTCTGGGATCAGAATCTCAGCTCTCATTAGAAAAAATAATATTTTTAGGATGCATGGATGCAAAGAAAAGCTTGACAAATCTGAAGGTAACTAATGCCTACCAAAGTGTGCTAGAACAATGACTTCAACAGGTGTGAGCTGCCTCATTCCTCTTACTCTGGAACCTGCTGCCACTCCAAGAGTGACTGAGCCATGGTGTTGGGTCAGGGCCCTAGTGAGCCCATGCTAAGTGTGCCCAGGGCTCCAAATTGCCTTAATTTGGCCCTGGCTGTTCCAAATTAGCCTAGGAGCTGAACCACTTTCCTGGCCAGCCACTGAAGAGAAGGGAAAGAATGGAAATGTGAGACACACACACAAAGGGCACAGAGCACTGCTACAAAACACCTGAGTCCTGAAAATGCATTAAAACATCTCATGCATTTGGAAAAGGAGCTTCTTTGTTTCTGCAGCTGGGGGGAAGTCTTCTAGAAAGAAATAAATTAGTTTCTGTCAACCAATTAAAAAAATGAACCATGATTAATTGTGCAATTCAAAAAATTAATCATGATTAATCACGTGATTAATCACACTGTTAAACAATAATAAAATACTATTTATGTAAATATTTTTGGATGTTTTCTACATTTGCAAATATATTGATTTCAATTACAACACAGAATACAAAGTGTACAGTGCTCACTTTATTTTTGATTACAAGTTTTTGCACTGTAAAAAAACAAAAATAAATAGTATTTTTCAGTTCACCTAATACAAGTACTATAATGCAATCTCTTCATCATGAAAGTTGAACTTACAAATGTAGAATTATCTACAAAAAACCTGCATTCAAAAATAAAACAATGTAAAATTTTAGAGCCGTCTAGTCCACCCAGTCGTACTTCTTGTTCAGCCAATCCCTCAGACAAACAAGTTTGTTTACATTTGCAGGAACTAATGCTACCCTCTTCTTGTTTACAATGTCACCTGAAAGTGACAACAGGTGTTCTTATGGCACTGTGGTAGCCGGCATCACAGGATATTTTCGTTCCAGATGTGCTAAAGATTCATATGTCCCTTCATGCTTCAACCACCATTCCAGCAGACATGCATCCATGCTGATGACGGTTCTGCTCAATAACAATTCAAAGCAGTATGGACACATGTTCATTTTCATTATCTGAGTCAGATGCCACCAGAGGAAGGTTGATTTTCTTTTTTGGTGGTTTGGGTTCTGTAGTTTCTGCATCGGAGGGTTGCTCTTTTAAGACTTCGGCAAGCATGCTCCACACCTTGTCCCTCTCAGATTTTGGAAGGTACTTCAGATTCTTAAACCTTCGGTTGAGTGCTGTAGCTATCTTTAGAAATTTCACGTTGGTACCTTCTTTGTGTTTTGTCAAATCTGCAGTGCAAGTGTTCTTAAAAAGAACAACATGTGCTGGGTCATCATCTGAGACTGCTATAACATGAAATATGTGGCAGAATGTGGGTAAAACAGAGCCAGGAGACATACAATTCTCCCCCAAGGAGTTCAGTCACAAATTTAATTAACTCATTATTTTTTAATGAGCATCATCAGCATGGAAGCATGTCCTCTAGAATGGTGGCCGAAGCATGAAGGGGCATACGAATGTTTGCACGTAAATACCTTGCTATGCTGGCTACAAAATTCCCATGCGAATGCCTGTTCTCACTTTCTGGTGACACTGTGACTAAGAAGAGCATTATCTCCTGTAAATGTAAACAAACTTGTTTGTCTTAGCGATTGGCTGAACAAAAAGTAGGACTGAGTGGACTTGCAGGCTCTAAAATTTTACATTGTTTTATTTTTGAATGCAGTTATGTAACACACAATAAAAACCCAACATTTGTAAGTTGCACTTTCACAACAAAGAGATTGCACTACAGTACTTGAATGAGGTGAATTGAAAAATACTATTTCTTTTGTTTATCCTTTTTACAGTGCAAATATTTGTAATAAAAATAATATACACTTTGATTTCAATTACAACACAGAATACAATATATATGAAAATGTAGAAAAACATCCAAAATATTTAATAAATCTCAATTGGTATTCTATTGTTTAACAGTGTGATTAAAACTCCGATTAATTGAGATAATTTCTTTTAATTGTGATTAATTTTTTGAGTTAATTGCGTGAGTTAATTGCGATTAATCAACAGCCCTAGAATAAATTTTCAAGCACTGAAGGAATAAACCTGCTAACAGAACATAATGTAGTGGAACCAAACAGTAGGACAAATCCTGCCATTCTTACTTAATCTTTATTCAAGCAAAAGGCCCACCAAAACAATGAGAACCCATCCCATTAGTTTGCCTAAAGGACAGCAGAATTTGGAGCTGTATGTTTCACATGTTTCTGGCTACGTATGATACTTAACTGACTGAAATGTGGGCACTCAGCATATCAAAATTATACAAAACAAACCCTAAGTGGTCCAGGAAAAAGAAAAGGAGGAGAAGCTGTAAATGAGGGAGTCTTTTCAGGCAACAATACCAATTTACCAGACTAAAACCCCTCCCACTCATATGGGCAAGATGGGTCTACTTTTCATGCAGTTTGCAATGAAGCTCTGCTGGTCCAAATTGCAGTTTGGGGATTTTTAATATGAGTTTGTGGTTCAACACAGAGGCTACAATCATTAATGTGGAGAAGGAAGACTGTCGTGACAGGTGCTCAGGTACCACTGAGAGGGGCATGCTGCAAGAATCAAGATAGAATAGGAAAGAAACCATGAGATCTCATCACCAGTCAGTGTACATTTCAGGACTTGGGAACTACTGATGTAGTTAACACAACACAAATCGGCACATTTGTGCTGCCCCACTTGCAAGTATTGTGCATTCTCAGGGCAGTGCAAGGAGGTTTCATGCCCTAGGCGAAACTTCTACCTTGCGCTGCCCCCCCCTGCAGCAGCTCCCTGCCCCACCCCTACCCGCCACCCCCTTCCATGGCCCGGGCAGCCCCCCCTGCGGCAGCTCCCCGCCGCCCTCTCCCTCGGCCCGGGGAGCCCCTCCTGCGGCAGCTCCCCACCGCCCCCTCCCTCTGCCCGGGGAGCCCCCCCTGTGGCAGCTCCCCGCCGCCCCCTCCCTCGGCCCGGGGAGCCCCCGCTGCGGCAGCTCCCCACCCCAGCTCACCTCCACTCTGCCTCTTCCCCGAGCACGCCGCCACTTTTCCCTCCTCCCAGGCTTGCGGCACCAATCAGCTGTTTGGCGCGCAAGCCTGGGAGGGAGAGAAGCAGAGCGGAGTGGTGCCCGCCAACCCCCCCCCCCCCCCCCCGTTACTTGCTGCAGGAGGCCCTCCCCGCTCCCTCCTGCCCCAGCTCATCTCCGCCCCCAACCACTTGGCACCCCAGGCAACCGCCTAGTTCACCTAGTGGTTGCACCGGCCCTGTGCATTCTGTCTCAGGGCCAGGGATAGATTACAATTAAACGGAGCATCAGTCTAATATTCAAGGGTCCTGTCTCTTTGGTCTCCCTCTGGTCTTTGTACTGAGCTCAGTGATCAGCATTCTGCTTTCTATGCACACCCTGTGGAAGAGGAGCCACGTCCTGATCAGTTCGCTCAGCACAGCGAGCTCCTATACCATGGTAGGTGGATCCTTGAAGCAGTGTTTCATGGTCCCAAATTCAGAGTGGTCTCCTCTCCCACTGCAGTGTGATGTTTGGGTCTTCATGCTCCAAGGATTCTCCAAAAGGTCAGGATGCAAACATGAATTCAAACAAAATAAAGGTGGTCTCTCTTGTAAGAGCACCTCTACTTGTGATTACAGAGGCAAATCCAAAGGCCCAACTTACTGCTGAGATCGCAGCTCAAGCCTTGCATGGCATGCATATATTCGTCACCCAGCCAAGCCTGGTAGTTCTGATTTGTGATTTGAACCAATTCTGTGGTGGTGTCTTTGAAGAGAAGATTCTTTGCATTGTAAGCAGCAGAATCAAACATCTGAAATCTTTGCTGTAACATTAAGGAAAGAGAAAGTGTCTATAAGGCAAACACACCTTTATCTAATGCTTGGTCTATACTTAAAAAGTTAGATTGACATGGCTCCCTTAGTGAGGTGTGTTTAAAAAAACATACCCCTGACTGACATAGCTCTACTGACCGAAACCCCAGTGGAGATGCAGCTATGTTGATTGGCAATGCTTCCATTGATACAGCTACTGCTGTTCGGGGAGGTGGCATCTTTACACTGATGGTAAAACTTCTTCTGTTGGCATAGGCTGCATCTACACTATGGGGTTATACCTGCATAGGTACGCCAACATGGCTATACTGATATAATCTTTGTATTATAGACATAGGTCCTGTCTACACAACTGCAGCACAGCTACCAGGCTGCTACTATATTACTGTAGTGCCACAGAGTAGATAGTTCCTACATCAATGGAAGAGGTTTTTCCACTGATGTAGGTAATCCATCTCTCTGAGAAGCAGTAGCCCAGTTGATGGAAGAATCTTTCCGTCAATCTAGCTGCATCTACACCAGGGGTTAGGTCAAACTAACTATGGGGCTTAGGGTGCAAAATTTTTCACAGCCCTGAACGAGTTGCTAAGTCAAACTACGTTGTAGGTGTACACCAGGCCATAGCCTAAGTAATGTTTAAGTCTGGGGTGAAAAGATCCATGTAGTTGGAAATCTTGGCATTAAGGGCACTATCTCACTTGTACCTTCCCAAGCCATAAACAGTTGCCCCTCAAGAAGTTCAAGCCTTTTTCAGTCTCTTCATATCTGGGGGCAAAGATAGTGGTGTGAGACCACCAGCCACATTTTGTGGCTGAAATCCATCTTTAGGCCCGATCTTCCTAGCTGCTGAGTGCCCTCCACTCCCATTTAATTCTCACTGAGCTGAAGGTGGTCAGCATCCCACAGGATCAAGCCCAGTGGGTGGAAGGGCAACTAAAAAAACAGTACAACAGACACCAAAAAACGTAATCCACCTGCCCCTGCTTAAGCATCTGGAAGATGAGTGACCCATCGGTGTCAGGTCTGACAACAACAGCATGAGCTGGGACTCGGGCCAGGTGGCATTTCCTCCAGTCTGTAACCTCAGCTGTGCTGCCATCGCGGCAGAGAAGTTGGAAGTCCCTGGAGTGAAGCTCTTGGGCCCATGAGGAAGGAGTCTGGCCTGAAATCAAATAGAACACAGTTATGATACAGCTTTCAGAATCACACTGATGGACAAAGAGCTGCTGATGCATCTGTCTCCCTCTGACCCTGCTCTACACATCCAGCCACACTATTTCTAAGGTACCTAATCATATGAGCAGCAATTCTCCATTACATTCTGCCTGATTTTCCCAACAGCTGCATAAAGCAGGAGGAAAGCTGGCTTAACTGGCTACCCGAGAATTCCCCCTGTCTAAGGGTGCTCTCTAAGAGGTGAAAAACCACCAGAGCAGCTGTAGGCCACCCTATCACCTCGTATTCCCCAATGTATGGTTGGGGGGAAATATATTATGGTAGAAGCTATTCCTTTGGCTTCAGATATAACCCTATGAGACTGTAGGCAGTTAAACATAAATTAGAACAGCGTTCAGGCAGCTCTGAATTATGCTGGGGACCACAGCAGTGCTGAGATGGTCCTAAAATCCAGGGGCCACAAGGGTGGCCCAGAACAAACTTTTACACCCACGCACCCTGGTGTCCTGCACTAAATGGAGCTCCACTGGACTTAAAAATCAGGACCTTGATATCTAAGTGGTATATACTCACAGGTATACTCAATAAGTGCCATGGGTATAAGGGAGGTTGCATTGATTAGTGGTACTACAAACTAAGTTCCCTTCTGCCTGTTTCTGCAGAGATTCCTGCGTAGAGAGGAGCCTAAGCCACAGTTATTTGTATTCAACTTTTAAAATATACCAAAGACCAAGACTGTTTGGATCCAGGATTTTGGTTCAGGTCAATCTCTGCTTCTAGACTGCAATTAAAGATCCCACTTTACTTTTTGCTGAAATCGCCAGTTGATTTGAAAATGTCTGACTTGGGGGCATTTTTCTTTCCCTTGTGTTCACACAGTGTTCTGGCTTTATTGCTTTATTCCTTGCATCAGAATAAATTCTGAACATATGACATCACTCTGATTGTTGGGGTCACCAGACTTGCAATGCTTTAGAGACTACAGCTGGACTTTCAGTTGAGAGATTAACCCTTACATTACTCACCATCTGTGTTTTCAGACACTGTGCTGTGCTTCACGAAGGCGACATCTCCAGCTCCTTCAGCCAAACACCTACCATAAATCAGACTATATTTATACACTATTAATCGTAAGTATGGAATACTGCTTGGTGACAACAGTAGGCCTGTGCAGTGCAATGTACCCAAAGACCACCAGTAGGAAGATGCTGAACTATGCTATTTTTATGCTGTGTGTAAGGATCAAGGCAGAGGCTAATGCAGGGGTGGGCAAACTAGGGCCCACGGGCCAGATCCGGCCTGTCAGGGCTTTGGATCCGGCCTGCGGGACTGCCAGCCCCATGCTGCTCCCGGAAGTGGCTGGCACCATGTCCCTGTGGCCCCTGAAGGAGGGGGGGAACAGAGGGCTCTGTGCGCTGTCTCGCCTGCAGGCACCTCCCACCCCCGCAGCTCCCATTGGCTGGGAACAGGGAGCCGCGGGCAGTGGGAACTTCGGGGGAGGTACCCACAGGCGAGGGCAGCGCACAGAGCCCTCTGCCCCCCACCTCTCCCAGGGACTTGGTGCCGGCCACTTCCGGAAGCCTTAGCCCCGCTGCGCACCACTGCCATCCTGGAGCCACTCAAGGTAAGCAGTGCCAGGCCGGAGCCTGCACCCCAACCCCCTGCCCTGAGCCTCCTCCTGCACTCTGCACCCCCTCCTGCATCCCAACCCCCTGCCCTGAGCCCCCTCCCACACTCCGCACCCCCTCCTGCACCCCAACCTCCTGCCCCAGCCCTACATTCATGGCGCTGCATGCAATTTTTCCACCCAGATTGGCCCTCGGGCCAAAATGTTTGCCCACCCTGGACTAATGGCTAGTAGGGCAGGTGATGACAATGCTTGGTGCTATACAAGAGATACATATCAAATGATTTCCTGAAAAGTCTACAGTCTCGGACAGACACAAGGCGCATTGGAAAATCTGGAATGAGGTGTCACTGTTTAAAATAAAATTATACAGATTTTTAAATTTGTGACATCTGTGGGGGCCTAGTCCAGGCCACGGGGATTGGGAAGGTTGGACACCCACACACACACGCACACACAGAAGAGAATAAGGCATGCACAGAGGAGTGAGAAAAATAGAGGAAGGAGGTATTGAAGTTGGCATTGGCAAAGTGGAGGAGGAGGGGAGCACAATAAGAGATAAGAGAACTAATTGCACTTGAAATGGGAAGCTTCAGATTTACCAAATAGCTGGCTAAGCCCAATGTTCAGGTGTGAAAACTGTCAGGGTCCATCAGTTCTTGCTAAGATGGCATCAAATCCAAGCATGTTAAGCACTTACGGATCTGTGCTCAGGTGAATATCAAGATTTATTTTCCCATGAGGTGAATATTGATGAAGACAAAAGTAACATCAATGGGATTTCCATGCACAAAACAAGTTATGTGAGCTAGAGTTTGTATAGAAGAACAGATATGCCTTTGGCCTTAGTATCTAGTGAAATTATTTTAAGATTACCTCAAATTATAAATTCACTTAGTTTTATGTTTTAACAGATTTTCTACTAGCATTATTCATTGGCTCTCTGGAATTCTGCTGAAAGTCAATTGGGGGTCAGATATCTTGCCAATTGGCACAGCATACACAGACAAATGTTAAAAATTAAACACCAAGACTTTACCTGAAAGCCCCGCTGTAGTCATAATATTGCTCTTTTGAATTTCTTTCACATTTGTTCTGCCCAGATGCATCCCCTTTACAGAGCTGACAGAGGGATTTTGGGTAATTTACATTATTGGCTCCAGGAACACAGCTTGCACTGAAATATTCACTAACAGCTATAAGTAAAATTAAGGTAACAATATTTTAGCAACTAAAACCAAAACCAAAAATGGCAAAAACACATTTTAACAAACCTTAATTATACATTTCTATACATTAAAAAAGTGATAATAGCTTCTATGTATAAACTGTTTTTAAAAGCCAGCAAATACAGTAGGCTAAATTCTGATCTGAGCTGCTTCAGGTCAATTCTCAGTTAGAATGAGCAACAAAAGAAGGGGGAAAAAATCAGCTAGAATCATAGAATCATAGAATATAAGGGTTGGAAGGGACCCCAGAAGGTCATCTAGTCCAACCCCCTGCTCGAAGCAGGACCAATTCCCAGTTAAATCATCCCAGCCAGGGCTTTGTCAAGCCTGACCTTAAAAACCTCTAAGGAAGGAGATTCTACCACCTCCCTAGGTAACGCATTCCAGTGTTTCACCACCCTCTTAGTGAAAAAGTTTTTCCTAATATCCAATCTAAACCTCCCCCACTGCAGCTTGAGACCATTACTCCTCGTTCTGTCATCTGATACCATTGAGAACAGTCTAGAGCCATCCTCTTTGTAACCCCCTTTCAGGTAGTTGAAAGCAGCTATCAAATCCCCCCTCATTCTTCTCTTCTGGAGGCTAAACAATCCCAGCTCCCTCAGCCTCTCCTCATAACTCATGTGTTCCAGACCCCTAATCATTTTTGTTGCCCTTCGCTGGACTCTCTCCAATTTATCCACATCCTTCTTGAAGTGTGGGGCCCAAAACTGGACACAGTACTCCAGATGAGGCCTCACCAATGTCGAATAGAGGGGAACGATCACGTCCCTCGATCTGCTCGCTATGCCCCTACTTATACATCCCAAAATGCCATTGGCCTTCTTGGCAACAAGGGCACACTGCTGACTCATATCCAGCTTCTCGTCCACTGTCACCCCTAGGTCCTTTTCCGCAGAACTGCTGCCTAGCCATTCGGTCCCTAGTCTGTAGCTATGCATTGGGTTCTTCCGTCCTAAGTGCAGGACCCTGCACTTATCCTTGTTGAACCTCATCAGATTTCTTTTGGCCCAATCCTCCAATTTGTCTAGGTCCCTCTGTATCCTATCCCTCCCCTCCAACGTATCTACCACTCCTCCCAGTTTAGTATCATCCGCAAAGAAGCCAAGGTTCTTGTCCCTGTGAGTGCTTCCGCTATCCAGGAAGCCCATATTCATGCCAGTGGTCAGTGACAGGGACTCTCTGGAAAGCAGGTTACATCCCAGCAGCCCTTACCTTTTGGAACATTGCATCCCATCACTGACATGCGACCACTATCAATGAGGTAGCCAACAGGAACATTCCAGCCAACTGTTCTGTTGATGCCTGTGTGGCATGACCTTACACCCTTCAAACTGTTGATGCTAATGAAGGATTTTTTTCTGACAACAGCCACTGCATAGTATGAAGTGCCAATTTCTGCATAGGAACAAAAAGGGATCAAAATTAAACTAATGTAGAAGCAGTATTACGATAAGAGACATTGACCTGACACCTTTTCATAATCTTCCACATCCATATTCAAAGGGCACAAAGCTCACACCCCTGGTATGACGCCACTGACCTCAGTAATAAATTCTGCCTGTTGTTTCTTCCTTGTGTAAATGTTTTTGTAAATAAAGCCATATTTAGACTTTAATTTGTAAAAGAAATGCCCCATAATTACCTTCTAATTTAATAATTTTTATTTTATAGCATCAGAGCCCATTAGCACCAAGAGTATGAAGGGGCAAACATTATTTTCACCAGTTTATGGCTGATGTGATTCACAAATTCATAAAGCTTAATGCCACAATGGACCATTAGATCATCTAATTCGACTCCTGTGTATCACTGGCCATTACATTTCATCCAGTTACTTTTATATTGAGCCAAATAATTTGTGTTTGACTAAAGATAACTTGCATTTGACTGAAGCATACCTTCCAGAAAAGCATCCAGTCTTGATCTGAAGACATCAAGGAGAATCCACCACTTCCCTTTGTAGTTTGGTTAATCATGCACACTGTTAAAACTTTGTGCCTAATTTCTAATCTGAAATGTACCTTTTTGTGAATCTTAATCTGGAAAACTCCTGAATGCTAACTGCACAAGTCCCATTAACTTACTCTCTGAGGACTTCAGGATGTCACCTATGGCTTGTCTACACTCACAGTTCTCTTCACGTTTCTCTCCCAACACCCAGCTGCACTAGCAGTTCCACCAGTGGTATTGATGGCAATGGGGGGAGCACTAGTGTAGACCAACTAGCTACCGTTTAACCAGCATCATTAAAGAGCTGCTTTTAGCTGGGTCAGAGGAAATGGAGGTTAAAATGCTGGTGGACTACCTACACTAGTACTTCCATCATGTTATCACTTGGATGGCTGCATCCGTGACAATGGGAAAATTGAAGGAAAATGCTAATGTCTGAGTTCCCTCTTAGTGAAATAGGGTCAGAAGGTCAGATTTTACAGGCTGTACTGATGTTAGTCCCGCTAAATGCCAGGAGAATGATCCTGCTTCCATTGAAATAAATGGCAAACCTCATGTTGACTTTAATGGGAGCAGGATCAGGCCCTGTGGGACTGTTCACGTGAGTGACACATCTAAGACTGGGCCCAAGCATTCTTTCATTAACATATATTAACTTATTTGTTCATTTTTGCGTAGTGTTTGGAATATAGAAAGCACTAATGGCTAAGTATAATTAATATAACCAGCTTCGGATTAATACTGGACCCGTGCCCAGGGGCTCTGGCCAATTTGGGCGCCCCTATAGGAGCACCAGAACCTGTGTAGAAGTGTTGGGGGAGGGCTCTCCGGCGCCAGAACTGTGGCTCTGCCCCCTGCTCCTCCTTTTTCCCCTGAGGCCCCACCCTCTGGCCAGGCCAGAAGCCAGAGGCAGGCCATGGTAATAGCCACCCAGGGAGCCTGTGCTGGTATGGGGAGCTCCAGACCCTCCACCTGCCCTGGGTGGGCAGGGGAAGAGTGCCCAAGAGCAGCCCCTGGCTCATGTCTCTGCCCCTCGGGCCATTCCACCCAGGGCAGGTGGAGAGTCTGGGGCTCCCCACAGTGGCCCGGGCTCCCTGGGTGGCTCTTACCATGGCCTGGCTCCAGCTTCTGACCCAGCCAGGGCCTCAGGGGGAAAAGGAAGAGCAGGGGGCAGGGGCAGCCCATCCATATAGGCAAACTAGGCGGTCGTCTAGGGTGCCAAGTTAAATGGGGCACCAAATTCGAGGAAAAAAATCAAATTTAAAAAAAAAGAAAAAGATGAAAATAAAATAAAACAACAAAGATGTCATTATTTCAATTCCTGTGCACGTATGGTGGAAATATGAATTATAATTCTGAGAATTTTTTAATATGTCAAATCTTTTATTTATTGCAAAATAAATAATATTTTAGCAATTTTTTTTTATTTAGGGTTAAGATTACCCTCTCCACAATTTTGATAAGCAATAACTCAGCCACAAAGAAACACATTCGCCAGCGGCAAAAGCTGCAATGCTAGTGACACCTAACTCGAATATACATCAAGGCTGCATAGCCGGAAATTCATGTATAGCAGAGATATTGCGAGTTGATACATGTCAAACGGTCATTTGAACACACGTCGCAGGTAGATGGTTAAGAATCGAGCAAATACTGTGGAAAATTGTGTTTCTTGGTGCCAAAGAATAAAGAATAACATCTTTCAGCATTATAAATCCAAAATGTGAGTATCTTTAAGCATTATTAAACCTTAGCGTTTTTATTGGGCTCTATAATTATGAACTTTTCTTTGTTATAACTGGTTCACATGTAATAAATAAGGTCCATAACAGAAAAGTAACAGCATTAACGCTTAACAGACTACAAAAGTGATGACGTCACACTCCAAGCGAGTAACCGTGAGGAAGCGGATTACTTTCCAAACAACCGGTGTTGGGTTATAACAGGGGTGGTCAACCCGTGGCTCCAGAGCCACGTGCGGCTCTTCAGAAGTTAATCTGCAGCTCCTGGTATAGGCACCGACACCGGGACTGGAGCTACAGGTGCCAACTTTCCAATGTGCTGGGGGGGGGGGGGGGGGGGAGGGGAGCGGTGCCCATTGTTCAACCCCTGGCTCTGCCACAGGCCCTGCCCCCACTCCACCCCTTCCCGCCTCCTTCCTGAGCCTCCCATGTCCTCTCTCCTCCCCCTCCCCGCAGAGTCTCCTGCATGCCATGAAACAGCTGATCAGGAGGTGTGGGGAGGGAGGGGGAGGCGCAGATCGGCAGGACTGCTGGTGGGTGGAAGGCGCTGGGAGCGGCCGGGGGGAGGGAAGTGGAGCTGATGGGGGCTGCTGATGTATCACTGTGGCTCCTTGGAAATGTACATTGGTAAATTCTGCCTCCTTCTCGGGCTCAGGTTGGCCACCCCTGGGTTATAACGTCAAAAAAGGTTATTTTGTTTCCATGTAAATGCTGTAACTAACTGTTTTAATAGGTAATTGAGTGCATGTTACTAATCACTGAAACTTTAAGCAGTAAAAAGATGTGTTGGGATGGCTGCAAAGTGGTTTAAATCACCAACCATGTGGTGGGTGTGTCAGCCATCCTTAATGCGATAATGCTTGCAGTCGGGATCACAGTACATAACAATATTCAAATGCCCCTTAGCAGAAAGAGGAAAAAGAAAACCCTCAGGAGCTCAGTATTGTAAATGAAAGGCTGAGAAGGAAAAGGACTAAGCAAAACTGCCGGGATCCTTCCTGAAATATCTTCTCTTTAATCCAAATAAAGATGGAAGCAGTTCACAGCATCCAGATTAAGAAACTGTACTTGGAGAGGTGGTTAGCTCACATCTGTGTGGAAGCAGTCTAGAACATCAAGATAAAGGTATATTACTTAGAGATGAGGGTAGCTCATATCCACAAAAATGGAGTTTGGAAACTCAAGATGATCATAGAGTATCAGGGTTGGAAGGGACCTCAGGAGGCCATCTAGTCTAATCCCCTGCTCAAAGCAGGACCAATCCCCAACTAAATCATCCCAGCCAGGGCTTTGTCAAGCCTGACTTTAAAAACTTCTAAGGAAGGAGATTCCTCCACCTCCCTAGGTAACGCATTCCAGTGTTTCACCACCCTCCTAGTGAAAAAGGTTTTCCTAATATCCAACCTAAACCTCCCCCACTGCAACTTGAGACCATTACTCCTTGTTCTGTCATCTGCTACCACTGAGAACAGTCTAGATCCATCCTCTCTGGAACCCCCTTTCAGGTAGTTGAAAGCAGCTATCAAATCCCCCCTCATTCTTCTCTTCCACAGACTAAACAATCCCAGTTCCCTCAGCCTCTTCTCATAAGTCATGTGTTCCAGTCCCCTAATCATTTTTGTTGCCCTCCGCTGGACTCTTTCCAATTTTTCTACATCCTTCTTGTAGTGTGGGGCCCAAAACTGGACACAGTACTCCAGATGAGGCCTCACCAATGTTGAATAGAGGGGAATGATCACGTCCCTCGATCTGCTGGCAATGCCCCTACTTATACAGCCCAAAATGCAATTGACCTTCTTGGCAACAACAGCACACTGTTGACTCATATCCAGCTTCTCGTCCACTGTAACCCCAAGGTCCTTTTCTGCAGAACTGCTGCCTAGCCATTTGGTCCCTAGTCTGTAGCGGTGCATGGGATTCTTCCGTCCTAAGTGCAGGACTGTGCACTTGTCCTTGTTGAACCTCATCAGATTTCTTTTGGCCCTATCCTCTAATTTGTTTAGGTCCCTCTGTATCCTATCCCTACCATCCAGCGTATCTACCTCTCCTCCCAGTTAGTGTCATCTGCAAACGTGCTGAGGGTGCAATCCACACCATCCTCCAGATCATTAATGACAGGTTTCAGAGTAACAGCCGTGTTAGTCTGTATTCGCAAAAAGAAAAGGAGTACTTGTGGCACCTTAGAGACTAACCAATTTATTTGAGCATGAGATTTCGTGAGCTATGCATCCGATGAAGTGAGCTGTAGCTCACGAAAGCTCATGCTCAAATAAATTGGTTAGTCTCTAAGGTGCCACAAGTACTCCTTTTCTTTTTGCAGATCATTAATGAAGATATTGAACAAAATCATGGAAACTTACTTCTAGACGAAGCCAGCTCACAGCACCAGGCTGATATGGAAGTGGAGAAAATTTATTCACCTTCAGAGAGACATGCAGAAATTGAAGTAAATGAAGTAGAAGGAACAAAGGATGAGGAAGTTACGAACAAATTACAGTATGGGGACCCAGGTTCATGGCCCAGATGTAATGACAGTGTGCGGCAAATTCTCATGGAACATGAACCTGAACAAGTTCATGAATTTCCCTTTCCTAAGGATGGAAATAAAAGAAAATTCTCTGCTCAGTATTACAAGACGAAACTCATTAATGGGGAAGAAATTAATCAAAACTGGTTACAATATTCAGTGCTGAAGGACTCTGT